AGCAGTAATTGAGTGTTAGCTCTTGTTCACGCATAGTCACGATTTCACTGACCTTTACAGTATAAGATCCTGTCCCTTTTAATTTCTCTGAGGATCTAACACAAGACATTACATATTTGTTGAAATAATCTAGACAGCGTTGGAAGAGAAATGAATCCATGGATGTGGAACTTCACTCTTAAGTTTCCTAGGAACAGAACAAGGCACTGTCCCTTGTATGTCTAATACGGTGACCTTGGCCCTATAAGAGGAACTGACGTGACAAATGCTTAGTAATATTTATTGAATAGATTAATGAATGATGTGAATTGTTAAAGTTCTCAAAGTTTAACTTAGGCTATTTGAATCACAACGAAATAATATAATTTCTTTTCCAATTTATATATATATATAATATTTATTTATTTATGCATACAAGAACGGGGGTACAGGCAAGAGTTGCAGAGGATGAGAGGATTCACCAGAGACAGAGCAGGGAACAGAACAGGCAGACTGACTGAAATACACTGCTGAGGGGAGCAGCAGGCGAGTCAGGAGAGGTCTGCTGCGCCATGTGGGTTGCTCCCTGGCTGGGTATCAAACTCGTATTGTAGTGCTGTGGATAGCTTCATAGGTTGCATCTTAACCCCTTGAACTACCAGGGAGGCCCTCCGATTTATATTTTTTGATGTAAAGTAGGTTTACATCTTTGAATCTACTCCCAGGATTATAAGTTCAAACCTCTACAATTGTATACTTTTACATACTGCCCACCACCAGTGCCAGACAATCTTCAACCATGTTCCATTGGGCCCTTTCCACCCCCCACTCTACCTTGCCACCCTCCTGTTCTGGTTGCCTAAGTTTTGCAGTCAGATGTTAAGAATATTTTTGCTTTAAAAAGATAAACACATGCAATTTGCAGCAACATGGATGGCACTGAAAGGGATCATGCTCAGCGAAATAAGCCAAAAAGAAAAAGAAAAATACCGGATGGTCTCACTCATAGCAGGAATCTAGAAAACTTAAATAAGGGACCAGGAAAATGAATATAAGAAAGTGAAAATCAAAATCAACAAAAAACTATGAACCAGAGACACTTTTTGGGGGGTGGGGGGCGGGAGGGGAAGGATTGGGGTCAGAATGGGGCGTTTGCAATTGTATGGGGGAATATAAAAATAAAATTTAATATTTAAAAAAAAAAAAAAAAAGTTATAAAAAAAAAAAAAGAATATTTTTGCTTTGATGTTGACTGACACTCTGTTATGTTTCTCTATATTCCACTAATAATTGAGACCATTGTCTATCTTTCTCCTTTTGACTTATTTTACTTAACATTATCCTTTCCAGTTCTGTTCATGTTATTAAAAATGGCAGAAATTCATTCTTTTTTATAGCAGAGTAGCATTCCTCTGTGAGTGTGTATAGTACATTTTTCTGATTCATTCCTCTGTCCTTGGGCACTTAGGCTATTTCTATAACTTAACTGTTGTTAATGGGCAAATAGGCTGCAATGATCGTAGGAATACATATATTCCTTCAAACTAATATTTTTGCATTCTTTGGGTAGATACTGAGGAGTGGAATTATTAGAACATACGGTAGATCCTTTTTCAGTATCATGAGGAACCTCCATACTGTTTTCCACAGTGCTGGAGCAGTCTCCATTCTCACCAAGATCGTTTGGAGGGCCTCCCCTGGTGGCGAAGGTCGTTGAGTGCCGCGCTACAAAGCTGTCCACAGCCTCTGCAGCGCCAGTTCAATCCCCGCCGGCCAGCGAGGGTCTCACATGGTACGGCAGACCTCTCTTGTCTCGCCCGCTGCCCCCCTCAGCAGTGTATTTCCTCAGTCTGCCTGTTCTGATCCCTGCTCTGTCTTTGGTGAATCCTCTCACCCTCACACGAATCTGGCCTGTACCCCAATTCTTATATAAATAAATAAAAATAAATCTTAAAAAAAAAAAGAGCGTATGGAGGTTCCTTCCTACATCCTTGCAGAAACTTGATTAAAAATATTTTTTTAATTAGTAAAACTATATAATGTATATTTGCATACAAAGTATGTATACATGCAAAGTATACATATCTGATAAGTATATATATATTTTAAAAATATAAAAATATATATACTTTTTTTTTTTTTTTTTTATAGAGGCATGCTTTATTTATTTGTTTGCTGGTTTGTTTGTTTGTTTTGTTTATACATGCACTGGGTACAGTCAGAAGCGCGGGAGGGCGAGAGAATTCACCAGAGCCAGAGCGGGGAGCAGAGCAGGCAGAAGGACCGAAGCACACTGCTGAGGGGAGCAGCGGGCGGCAGGAGAGGTCTGCGCGCCATGTGGGACCCTCCTCTGGTGGCCGGGGAGCAGCCGGGGATCGAACCGGCGCCGCAGAGGCCGCGCGCAGCTTCGCAACCCAGCGCTCAACCGCTGCGCCACCGGGGAGGCCCAAAAATATATATACTTTTGAAGATTAAAAAAATACATAATTCCATAACCAAAAAGATACATTTGAGGGGTGTGTGTGTGTGTGTGTGTATTAGATATTTTTCTGTACACGTATATGTAGTCTTTTTTAAAATAAAAATTAGATTATACCATACCTAATATTTTATGAACTCTACCGTATTGTTTATTTAAAACTTTAATAAGAACTAGAATTGTATTTTATAATTTATACACCAAAACTTGGTTAAAAGGCCATTGATTTGGTGGTGGGAGAACTATGGTGACCACACCTGAGGGGAGAAATCCTATACTGTCAAAATATTAATGAGGATATAAAATAATGGTTCTTTATTTTAAAAAGTAAATAAAAAGCCATCAGGTTATTATAGTATTTTTTCTTTTTCTGAGACATCTACTCTTTTGGTTCTACTTCTTTGTTACTACAGGGTTTACTTTAAAATATTACAACTTAAGGGCCTCCCCGGTGGTGCACCGGTTGAGCGCTGGGTTGCAAAGCTGCCCGCGGCCTCTGCGGCCCCGGTTCGATCCCCGGCTGCTCCCTGGCCGCCGGAGGAGGGTCCCACATGGCGCGCAGACCTCTCCTGCCGCCCGCTGCTCCCCTCAGCAGTGTACTTTGGTCCTTCTGCCTGCTCTGCTCCCCGCTCTGGCTCTGGTGAATTCTCTCACCCTCCCGCGCTTCTGACTATACGCAGTGCATGTATAAACAAAACAAACAAACAAATAAATAAATAAAAAACATGCCTCTATTAAAAAAATTTTTTTTTTAAATATTACAACTTAAAATGTGTTTTCTCCAAGAGGGGGAGAGTAATTTAGAGTAAAGCATATTAGCATTCCACAAAATATATCGAAAAATTTTGCCATACTCTACTACTCTCATTTTATTTTTAAATTGATTTTTGCTTTATTTTACAAGAATTTATACTGAAATCTTCCCGTTGACTTAAAAACAAACACTGAAATTAAAGATTTCATTAGAAGCAGAAATGTGATGCACTTTGGTAGGTATGTTCAAGAAGATCAATCACATTTTTTTTCCTAGTCAGCAACTATGCAGTTCGACTGTTTTGGGGGGGCCTCAACCATTCACTCTCTCCTTTAATAGGTGTCAAAAGAGAGTAAGGACACTTGTTTCTTCCAAATTCTGTTTAGTTGACAGAGAACTCTCAGTTTTAAAGATCAGTCTAATGTCAAAACAACTGAGTAAAAGAGCACAACAATTGACCGAAAAATGAGGATGAGAAGCCATCCATTTAAATTGTAAATGGGATAAAAGGAATAGAAAATATGTTCAATCACAAAAATATTTTGGGGCTCATTGATTAAATCCTGTGGCGGTGACTCCTTCACTGAGCACACACCTTTGCCCAGCATAGGGCCTTCTGGGAGAGCCCTGCACCTGCTCTGTGAACCAGGAAGTCTCCGGCTGTCAGTAAGCTCTCTTGCTTCCACAAATATTTGCAATCCACCACCCTCATCTTCCCACTGCCATAGAAAAGAAAAGCAAGGGGAAAAACAAGTTAAATAGAAACATGAATTTCAGTTTCTATTTTATGAGATATTATGGGTAAGTATATTAAAGGGTTTTTTTGTTTCTTTTTTTCCTAAAGCAGCAAGATTTTTGACTTAAGTCTCTGAAACAATAGAGTAAGTTAATGTTTAACAAATTTTCAGAGTATAAGAAATATATTTCAGCTAGAACTTATGAGTGAAATTTATACAAGAATCCAATTTATTTTACAAGTTTAGCTAAACTTTGAGTATGAGAATAAGGGGATAGGAGGAGGGGAGTAAGTAATAATAATGACATATTAAGGGTTATTGGAGAAATTTAATTATATTGGTGATAAATAATATTGTTTAATAAAATGGCAAAGATAACTAATCCTGCAGAAGTGGACAATTTCTGTAGGCTCCCTACACTAAACTACATCTTTAAACAAAAAATTACTCTCTATGTATATTAACACATACACATACCAGTCTGAGTGCTTAGTGAGAGTTTTGAATAAGTGTGCTATGTTTTCTTGGTTCACACGTTAATATCATGTTCACATAAGCAATATTTCATTATTCTAAAGGTTCTGTAAAAAGAGTTTTTAGATAAAGTTAATCTGTTGCTATTAGTGTTCTAATAATGTCTCTGTAGCTACTGGTAGAAAAGTCCATTTTTATGACACTAAATTTTGTTTGCTTAGAGCTTGTCTTCTAAATGTATAATGTCTAACTAAAGAAAATCCCAATCTGAAAGAATAGTGAGGTTTCAGCTGATCAATTTCCTTTCTCTCTTTAAATTTGCCTTTGGCTTCTGTGATGGGAACAGATTGGAATGACCGCTAAACTATTTACTTTGTAAAGATACTGCTTTTCCAACAGACTTTTCATATATCAGAAAGTCCTTGGGAATCAAGCCTTATCTCTCTCTCTTTTTCTTTTCTTCCCACCCTCCAGTCCCTTGTTTGGTAAAACTTGTAAATTGTTTCATTGACCTTGAACATTATGTTCCAATTCTTTTAAGAAAGGCAGGGGGACAAAATAGTATTGCATTACAAAAGAAAAAGAATGCCTATTAGTGTTCAAGATAATAGTACTTCTCAGGCTTTCAATTTGGGAGTGCACAGATAACTAGAATACTGAAGTTAGATGGTAAGACTTAATGAAAACATCAAAATTGTTTGCTTTAACTATATAACAAAAGAGATGTAAGTGATCTTAGTTCAGTGCTAAACCTGACTTATGTAACCTGTCTTTCTGTTTGGAAACTTAGAGTCTTCTCTTTTTTCTTGGTATTCTAGTATTTTCAAACCCTTTATCCTTTGGTGCTACTTTCTTTGATATTTTCTCAACTTTATCTTTCACCCTTTCTCTTATTTTGCTTTGGTTTCTTACACATTTAAACATTTCTAGAGCTTCTTCCCATTCTCTGAATGTTGTCTTCCTGCCCTCCCTCCTTCTCTTTCTTTTTCTTTCCGTTTTTCTTCCCTCTGTAGTTTTCTTTTTAAAAAATATATTTGTTTGTTCTGCATCCTGCATTTCCCTCTATGTGCTTTTTTATTTTGACTTTATTGGAGGTTTTAACCAAATGTCTAAGGATCCTGCATGTTCATTCATATTGTGAGCAAGACACTAAAAATTTAAATGGAAGCTCTATAACATGGGGACATAGGTTTCATGATTATGATTTTTGCTTGAGGATTCTGGTAAGTCCTCTACAACAAGTTTGCGGAAATTTCATTTCATTATTATTATGCTAAGAGGTGTTAAAAAAAGAGGAAGGGATTTTGTGTTTCAATAAATACTTTCTTGACAGCTATTGAAATCATATACATTTTACCCTTAAATCTGTTAATGTGTTTGCTAGTAGTAGACTTTGCTGGTAGCAATATTTCAGAATGCCTTTGTGTCTTATCTGAGGAGAAGTTCAAATTTTCTGCTTTTTAAAAGGGGAAATTTTGGGGCTGGAAGTTTGACAATTTTGTTCACGGTGCCTATGTTTGGGGCTGGTGTTATGTTTTCGTTGCTCTATGCCTTGCAGAAATGAAGACTTTCCTTTTTGTAATAAGGATTGATCAGGAAAGACTATATATTTGAAGGTATTAACTAAAGTTTGTTGTTATTGTTTATTTTTTGTGTTTAATATGATTTTTGCTTAATAAATTAAGGATTTAAATCTCATTATCAGGACATCTAAGGCAGTTTAGTTAGCATATTTTACAAATAAGAAAGGGTGTTTACAAAATGTTTTTTCAGTGAACCCCTCAGAAGTAGTGGTTTAGCTACTTTCCTTACCACAGCATAGTTTTCCTCCTACTCTTTATTGTCACATGCTATCAAAAGACCAAGACTTTTTTTTCCTCCTGCAGTGTCTTGCTCTTCTACGTACTTCCCCAAAGAAAAAGGAAGAATTAGAGTCCTGTTCTGATTATTAACATTAGCTGTGAAAAAGTGTCTGAATTGCCTGGTATGCTAAAGGATATTTATCTGTGATTCTTCTAAGCATTAAGAAATTTTACACAGAAGCCTCAGGAATTGTTGGTAGATTGAAAAAATGAGAGGTAGCTTAAAGGCATAATGGAAGAACCTAAACCTGAGAATCCAAGCAGAAGGTTTTAGGTTCTTCTGTCACTAACAACTACGAAATAAGGAGACTGGACTTCACTTTTCTTTATGGTCTCTAACATTCTTGTGTATTCAAAGCGTTATCAACTCTAGAAAATATTCCACAAATGGGAATATATACTTCAGTTTAAATATGGGCTTCATTAATATTATAACCTCATAATTATTTTAAAATTCATGCAATATTTTATGATTTAATGTTTCATTTTTCTTGTTACATTAAAAATATATATATATATGAAATAGAAAGCTTCCTGGAGAACCCTAAAATATCCTCATAGCAGATGAAATAGTGGCTCCCTAAGATGGTCAGATCCCCAAAACCTGTTAATGTTTTACATTACATGGCAAAAGAATTTTGCAGGTGTGATTAAATGCAAGATCTTAAGATGGGATCCTTATCTTGGATTATCCAGATGTGCTCATTCTAATCACAAGGGTTCTTATGTGAGGAACGAGGTCATAGAAAAATTCAGGATGATGTTATATGAGGGAAGAACCTGCCAGTTCTGGCTTTGAAAGTGGAAGAAGGAGGCCATCAGTTAAGGAATACTGGCAGCCTCCAGGTGCTGGAAAGTCAAGGAAGTGGATTCTCCCCTGGAACCTCCAGACGGAACACAGTTCTGTTGAAAACTTAAATTTAGCTCCTTGAGACACATTTAGATTTTCAACCTTCAGAACTATAAGATAGTATATTTGTTTTGTTTTAAGTCACTAAGTTTGTGATAGTTTGGTACAACATCAATAAGAAACTAACAATCCTCACCTTTGGTTGAGTACTTTAATCTTTTATGTCTATGCATTTTGTTCATATAGTGACAAACACTGTTTGCCTTAATAACTACAAATTATGTCATATTGAATTATTTGTATTAGCTATAATATAGAATGATTAGAAAATTGATTAATTATGCTTCTGCATAGCATTATATTCTTAAATTTAATTTTTCTCTGGGACTATGCTTTATGCATGGACATCTCTCCAGATCCAACATTCTATGAAGTCCAAGAATATGATCTAATAAAGTCTAACATCTCTTTTTTTAAGAGAAAGAAATTGTGACCTACTAAGAGCAAACCCACGAGTTTCCCTATAATCTACCACGTGTTGCTTATAACATAAGGATTAAGATTGAGGACTTATGCTTCCTAGTTCCCACCATACCATACTCTTTCCAACTGAAAGTGTTAGGACATGAAAATATTTAATGAATCTGACTTCTTAGTGTGAAATATGAAGGAATGTGAAATTCAAAGATGCCTTGTTTAATTCAACTAATTCTCACTTGAGAAGCTGTGTGTAACACGGCTAGTTTTGATCTAGATTGTCAAATATGCAAATTTCATTTCTAGTATTTTTCACCCAAGTGACCCTCTACAGGTACCTTAACCTTCCGTTGCCTTCATTTCCTGGTTTGCAAAATGGAAATGGTGATATCACTGAACTCATAAAGTGTGGGAAATTTAAATACCATAAAACTCCTAGACAAAGTTCTGGAGTATATTCAGCACCAAAAATCATGGACAATTACTATTATTCACAGTAGCCTGTATAATAAAGGTAGACTTTCAGTTGAACAGAAACCACTAATGTTAAAAATATTAACATTATTAACATTTGTTACTGCTTGGTTATTAGCTACCTCCTATGCTAATATGAGTGCTTAATCCTAAAAATGGGTACACATGGTCAGATAAATTGTATACAGACAAAAAATCTTGCAATCTTCCATGCCATTAGATATTCTGTGGGCACTCAGCACAAGACTATCATGAGCACTCCTGCTAATTAAAGTCACATTATTATCAAAGAACTGTACAATGACTGCTTCTATACTGTTGCTTCTGCAAGCCGCATCCTTCAAGGACAGAGTAGCTGATATATGTTTCGTTTCCCTCATAATGCTGAGCTTGGGTATCTGATAGACTTGCTTAGGCTGGCAAACTTTTGAGCAGAAGTGCTAGATTTGTATGCATCTTCTCGAATGGAACAGTGCTAAGCTAAAGTGAGCTAGGAGAGAAAAAGGAAGTGAAAAAGTGGAACGGAAAGACATAGGTAGCTAGGGGAAGAAAAAAGAGGAAGAAGCAAAGGAGACCAGAAAGGACATGAAAGATTATGAAGACACTCAACTGTTGAAAAGAGTTGAAGATGAATAAGGAGAATGGGAGACCATGCAGCCATCGTAGTTCCTAGGAAGAGTATTTGAGCCCTAAACCCGAGTTTATCAAATGTCAATGTCTATCAATTTCCTCTGGAGGATGTGTTAGTCACATGTTAATCATTCACAGAAACCCCTAGCCAAGAAGTCAGAGTGGAGCCCGATAATGCAAATTCTAGCAAGTTTATATGTGATGCTGGTGGTGCTGGTCTGAGGAAATTTTGAGAACATGTGGGCTAAATTATATTTGCCCAAAATAAATATAACTATTCTCAGTTTCTTTTTATTGAGCTGTATTTTACATATAGTAAGTTGCACTTTATGTTCTTGATTTTCTAACATTAGCAGTTCCCCCCAGGTTGTTGTGCTAGATCTATATGTAGATTAAAGGTCTGGCTGTTCCCATATACTGTTTCTGTCAAGTATACAAAGAGATATTTTTGAATAAAGTCCTAGTGCCTGATACTATCTTCTGTTAGAATGATATAATGAACTTCAGTTATTTTTTTAGCTTTTCAAAGACAAAAGTTTCTGTAGCCTGGAATCTAAAGTCAAAAACTGCCATTTCATTTGGAATATTCCCAGTCTCTTCTAAGCATTAGCCCACTTGCTGTCTCTTATTTATTATCTCATTTGAAAGGAGGAAGATTTGGTGAGTTATACTGAATTTGTTCTCCGTCTTTGAATTAACAATTTATTGTATTTATACACCAAGTAATCTGAAATGCTGGACAAGGAAGCAATTGAGATGGAAATCCTTCAACAATGCTTCTCAACTTTAATGTGTGCTAGAACCCCTATGGAACCTGTTAAAATGAAGATTCTAATTTAGTGAGTAGGGTGTGGGGTTCAAAATTCTGTATTTGTAACAAGCTCCCAGATATAAGTTGCACTGCAGGTAACATTGATGCTTCCAGTCCGTGGATTTCATTTTTGTAGGAAGGCCCTGTTTGGTGTTGATTGGTGGGTCTCAAACTTCAATGAGCAGCAGAATCAATGGAGGGCTTGTAAGAACACAGATTGTTGCCTCTATCCCAGAGTGTATGATTCAGTAGGAGTGGAGCCTGACAGTTTGCATTTCCAAATTCTCAGGTGTTGGGGAAAGTGCAGGGAGCACACTTTGACAACTACTGATCCATTGGCCAACCCACCCCTTTCATTTGGCTGATTGACTTGACAGCAATGTATACTGCTAGTTGACAAGTTACCCCCAAATGTCCTTGACAAAGTCATCATTATTCTTTAGGTGACAAACCCAATGTATTCCTCTCAGTCCTCACATTACTTGGCTTTCAGTGGTTTCTGGCAGTTGTTGCTCCCTTCTTGATATCCTCTTCTCTCTTGGTACTGTAGTAGAAATTTTTTTTT